GTATCGAATTGAATGGAAATACCAATAAACAACGATAAGCCACTGATGGGATTGGCTTCTACAAAAGCTAATGGATGCGGACAAATACGAATTATGTCTATAATGGCAAACTGAGTGATAAGTGATAGGTAGTAAGTACTTTTCAACCTTAAAAGCAATGCTTTTAAACCACACTTGAAGAGTATTAATTTGACTCTTATTAAAAATACAATTAAATGATACAATTTAGCTGATGTGACAGAAATTAGTCTATCCGACATCTCAAGGGATGTTAAAAAGCATTTTTGGTAATTAAAAATGGAATAAATGGATTCAAAACGTCTGTGGCTGCATAAAAAGTAATTAAATGCCATAAAATCTTTTAGCCATGAATATTATGATATTTATCTTAAGGTCATAAGTATTATATATCCTTTTGGCATTCTAAAACGTTTAAGCAACTAAAGTGCTTGCTTTGAAAGCATATTTAGTTAAAATAGTAAAGATGTAACTAATAGCAAAACAGTTCATGAAAATATTAAGATAAGAATCATTTGTACATACATTCCATGGCTTCCATCTGGTATCCTGTGGTCCAATTCCGTTTGGTATACAGAAATAGCAAGTTAAGTAAAGAGTAATTCGAAAGCACAGCAAAGTTGTGCAAAGTATACACAAAGCAAAGATTTAAACTAAAATTAAATATTATTAAAATTTATAGCTGAAATGTCTTCATATTGCCCCAAAACTATTTTAAACCATTTTAGCATTTAAACATACCAACTTTTGCTTACCTTCATAATTTAATTAAAATAAATGGCAAAAATACAAAAATAAAAAGCGAAAGAAAACTTTATAAAACTTCCAACTGGAACTCTTTATGAAAAAGAGCAAAAATATAATAAAATAAAATAGACAAAAATTATGATGATGTAATTTTTTTAAAAGTATCCACTCAAGTGCATAAAAGCTTACTTAATGCTTTTTACATTAGGTACAATAATTTCTCTATTTCAGAGTGGCTCAAACTCAACGACCCATGGCAGAAGCTACGAAAAAAAGGAATAAGTTTGGCAATTCTATGCCAGAACAGCATTTGCAAGGCAAAAAACTAAATTCGTTGGAGTACTGCCAACAGCAAAATCAGCAACAGTGGTACCGGCAACAACAGGCGGAGCAGAGTACAACGAGCAACAGCAAAAGTGGCAAAAGTAACTCCTTTGGTTGAACACACACCACAGTCGTAGTGCCAGTCAGTGGACTGACATTCACACCAGAATTTACACTCACACGCACACCCAAACTCACTCTTACACTTACGGAACCAACTAGTACGCAAATTCAATAAATTATGCAAGTATGAATGCGCAACGCGAGCGCACTTAAGTAGGCAATCAGGCAGGAAGAAGCAGCAAACAGTAGGCCACAGCAATGAGCAGCAGTCAACCGTCAGTGGGCAGCAGCAGACAAACTTTAACCAGCATTTATATGAGTACTCATAAAATTGCACTTTTCACTACTTCCTCCCGGAGTAACACTCGCTATCTACAAGCTTCTTTCTATCTATATGTCAGCATTATGGCATTATAAGTTATAGTGCAGCAGATAACTGCGGCAACAACAAAGCTGGGAATCGAACGTACGTACGGATTCGTACACAAAAATCTTGGCGGCATTTTTAAATAATTTGCATTTGTTGGCATGAAGTCAAAATTTTATGGCATGTGCAATGTTAAATTGTTTTTTATAAGCAATCATTGCTGCTGCTTTGTAGGCAAATATGCTTGAAATATGCCCCACCGTGCCAAGCTAATAATTGTCAAAATTGCTATAAAATGCAAAAGTTGTTGAACAATGTTAACGATGATGGCTCTATGTTGCTGATGCTTATTTAAGTGTAATTGTAGAGGCAAAACTTTCATTTTGCTGGCACTTCCAAACAATAAATTGAATATTGAGTTGACAATTACAAAACAATCAAATAAGTTTTTTTTTTGGTATTATAATAAATGATACTTTAGCATATCACAAGGAAAATCATTCCATCTACTAAAGCAAAGACAATGAAATATTTTGTCACGCTAAGTTTAGTAGATATAGGTACATATATGCAAATTGAGATCAATGATATATTGTATTAAAAGGACCTTTTTTCAAGAATAAAGCATTCTTGATTTCTTTAAAATATAATCTGAGCACTTTCTAATCTTTTAAGTATATATAAAGACTATGTAAGGTATATTACAGATGAAAATACAAATCAAATACTTAAAATTTACAACTGTGAAATATATACACGTATATCTGTAACATATACAGATACTCAAACAGAATCTATTGACAAAAAGAAACTAGAAAAGTTTGAACAGTAATGAAGAAACAACAACAAAAATTTTAGTTTAATTTGTTGAAATTTGGCTAATCAAAAAGCGTTGTATGTTTTGAGTATTCCCGGCTGCTAATCATCAGTGATCTTTAGAAATATTCGAATTTTTATTTAATTAGTTTGTAGTCAGTATATATGTGTACTCAGACCTATATATTTAGTTTAGAAAAAGCTAACACACACTAACACTCAACTTTCCACTAAAGTTTAAGCTATGGATCAACTGAATTCACAACAAGGGTACGGTACACACAACTAAATGCTTGACACGGTATTTGCGAGTTAAATATAAGATTCACAGATTTTGTCTAACTTACTCCCCACCAAAGTATTATTCCGTTATTATTTGCCTGTGACTACCGTTTAAAATCTGGAGAAGTGTTTTCATTAACATAATGCTTTTATTAATACTTGATATCTCTTTAGATACATATATGTGTATCCATTAAATAAGACACCATTTAATTTGTTAGTTAATTAAACGAATAGGTGCATTTCAACTAGAGAATGAAGGCCTCCAAAAGCTCCCTTTAAACTGGCTGGTTGAATACCTCGAGGTACTAAATGTTTAAATACAAAGGGGTGCATAATTGAACAAGCTTTTAGGCCTTTGCTCAACCAATAAACCATTACCATTAACAAATTATATATGCTTCTTTACAAGCTCTTTAAGAGTGGGAATAGGACATTAATTAATGTTAGTAATTAATTAATAAGAAATGATTTATTCTGTTAGTGAATTAAAGTTATTGTATGTGCATATTTTCAAGCTCTTTAAGGTATTAAAAGGACATTAATTAATATTTTCAACATGTTATTTATGCTTAATATAAAAATCATATAAAGTACTTAGACGATATAATGACTACTAAATTTTAATTTATCAGTGAGGAGAATATAACAAACATTTTAAATGATTTCGAAATTATATTGAAAAAATTTTTGAAGGAAAATAAATTACAGAAACATCTACACCATATAGAAACCTTAACGGACAAGTACCAAGATTTATTTTCTTAAACTCAGTAGTGCTAAGAAAGGCTATAGTCATAGCTATGTTAACATAGGGTTTGATTAAATACTTTGACATATTTTCAGTTTCATTAAACCTTTTATAAAAATACTGAAACAAATATTTAACAGATATGAAAATTTTAGACTTAAAAAAACACTTGTTTGTTTGGATTGTATTTCAAATTGAATTCAAATATCTATCATTCAATGATTTAATATGCAAGATAAATAATTTAAATCATACAAAACAACATAAGTTATAACCATTTGATTGATTTTCCCAAAGGATATATTAAT